CAGCAGCAGCAGCAGCAGTTGGCTGTTTGGAGTGTCTGTCTCCACGGCTAACTCGGCTTGCAGCGCTGAGCCTTCGCCCCTGCCTCCCCTCCCTCCCCTCCCTCCCCTCCCCTCCCCTCCCGCTCCACCTCCGCCGCTGCTGCTGCCGCTGCTGCTGCCGCTGCTGCTGCTGCTGCTGCTGCAGGTGACGTGCCAGCTGCCGGTGGAGCAGAGCGGCGGCGAAGGCAAGTGCCTGTGGATCGACACCGAAGGCACTTTCCGCCCCGAACGAATTGTGGCCATCGCCCGCAGGTTCGGCCTCGACCCCGCGGACTGCCTCGACAACATCGCCTACGCCAGGGCCTACAACTGCGGTCCGCTGCTGCTGCTGCTGCTGCTGCTGCTGCTGCTGCTGCTGCTGCGGCTGCGGGAGCAGCAGCGGCAGCGGCAGCAGGGGCGGGGAGGTGGTTGAGAGGAGAGAGGGATGGGGAATAATGTCGAAGGGGTCTTTTGACGTTTTGGAATTCATCAGTGTTCACTCTTAAATTAAATTGTTGGAATTGTCAATTGTTAATTATTAAGTGTGGATTATTAATTGTATTAATTGTTAATTATTAACTACTTATTACTGATTATTCGTTTTTAACTTTTAATTTGAAAAAGTGTCAACGGCGTGTTTCACGCAAGAGCATGTGCTGTCCAAACAAATAAAATAAACAAAGATACACGAAACAAAATTAATTAATTAAGTACTAAAACTAAATTAATAATAAAACAAACAAGAAACAAATGGCTAAATAAATGAGTGCACAAATGGAGAAGCAAACTGCGCAGGTGACCAGTGGACCACGACGAGCCAAGTGGACTGGAAGCCGATCTTCTTACGATTTTGGTCGATTTGTGTTCTTTTGTGTTCGTTTTTGTTCGTTTTTGTTCGCTTTTGAAATATAAATGAATTAAATGGGATTTAATGAAACAAACTGGAGGAAAGTTGGGAAGTTTGCGCGGGTTTGCGCAGACCACCAGCTGGAGCTTCTGGCGCAGGCGGCGGCGATGATGAGCGAGGCGCGCTTCGCGCTGCTGGTGGTGGACAGCGCCACCGGGTTGTACAGGTCCGAGTTCGTCGGAAGAGGAGAACTTGCTGCTCGACAAGGTCATTTATGTCGTTTTTTGCGGAGTCTACAGCGCCTGGCGGACACATTCGGGGTGGCGGTGCTGGTGAGCAACCAGGTGGTGGCGCGGGTGGACGCGTTCCCGGGCAGCAGCAGCAGCAGCGGCTGCGGCGACAAACTCCCCATCGGAGGCCACATTATGGCGCATGCAAGTCAGACGCGGCTTTACTTGCGCAAGGGAAGGGCCGAAAGCCGCATTTGCAAAGTCTACGACAGCCCCAGCCTCCCCGAGGGCGAGGCGCTCTTCGCCATCGGCGAGGGAGGCATCGGCGATTACGAGGAAAGCTGAGCGATCTCTTCGTTTCTTCCACTCCAAAATACTTCTTTTCCTTTTTCCTCTTCTTTTCCGCAAAAAGAAGACAAAAAACGCCGCAGATTCCCCGCTTTCCGCACTGTTCAACTTCCCGCCCCCTACGCCCCCAGATCCAAGTCTCACAAATCGCCGCTGTTGTCGATTGAATCCGACCGAATTCAGTTAAATTCAATTCATTTAATTAAATTTAATTCAATTAATTAAATTGATTAAATTTAATCCACTTAATTCAGTTAATTCGAGGGATTTGGCTCGGGAAACTCGCGGCGCGGAGAGAAGTTGAATTCCGCAACTTCGTTCAAGTTCTGCAAACGAGTTCTGAATATGCGAATTAATTTGAATTCATTTCGAATTTATAATTCAAGAAATTGAAATAATTCAAATTTAAAATTCAAGAATTAAATTCAAAATTGTATTTCAAGAATTGAAATGAATTCAAATTTATCACTTTGACGGCGGAACCGAAGTCGAAATCGAGTAAGTGCACAGTGGCTCAAGAAGCAGTTGAATTGAATTCAATCAAGTTAAATTAGATTAAATTAAATTAAAGTAAATAAAAGTAAATTAAAATTGAAATTTAATTCAATTGAATTCGATGCGACTTGTGCAAACTCGAGACAAGAAACGCGGGGCTGCGCCAGCGCATGCAGATCTAAAAGAAGAAATAAATGCGAAATAGAAAATAAATGCGAAATAGAAAATAAATGCAATTTGGACAAAAGTTTCTTCTAAAAGTCTTTTTAAGTCTTTTAAAAGTCTTTTTAAAATGAAATTAAAGAAATTTCGAATTAAAAAGGATTAAAAAGGACTAAAAAGAAACAAAAGGCCCCAAACGCCCCCAGTTGCGAGCTGGCTTCCCTCTAAACCCTAAACCCTTGGCCCCAAACCCTAGCTGCTAAACCCTAGTGCCTAAAACCTTGGCCTCAAACCCTACTCGCTAAACCCTAGCCCCAAACCCTAAACCCTAGAGGGTCCGATGGTTGGCTTTTTGTGCCGCTTTTGATTAATTCTTTTATTTCTTTTCCTTTTACTTCTTTTCCTTTTATTTTCGATTTTATTTCTTTTGTTTATTTTTCTTTTATTTCTTTTCTTTTATTTTCGAACTTATTGCTCTTACTTCTTTTTCTTTTATTTCTTTTTTTTCTTTTCTTTTATGTTCGAATTTGTTTCTGTCTGTAGCGGAGAGCCGGATGGCTTATTGAAAAGGCTCAACTGAAAATATTTATTTTATTTTTTGCAAAAAGTACGAAAAGATTTATTGTTTATTTTATATTTCATTAGAAATGCTTTATTCTTATTTAATATATTCTTATTTAATATATTACTTATTTAATATATTCCTATTTAATATATTACTTATCTAATAGTTTATTAGAAATGCTTTATTCTTTATTTAATTATTTACTCCATTTTTTTTCAAAGACAGAAAATGCGCACTTCTGCGCAGTTCAACGAGGTGTACGTACACACTGGCGCATGCGCATGCATGCGAAAGATAGCAATTAAACGTTAGTATTTACTTACTTCTATTTTTCTTTATCTATTTATTTATTTATTATTTATCTATTTATCATTTATTTTTATTTATTTATTATTGCCCTTATGGACAAATAGGATTCAAATGGTGGCTGCGAGAAATCTGAATTCGAAGCAAACGGTCGCTTCTCGTTTGTCTGCATACTTTTAATTTGTCTTTTTGATATTTGTTTTCTTTTTTTCCTTCTGTCTTTGCTTTTTGTCCTTTTGTTTGTTTTTGTTTATTTGTCTTCTTCGTGTGCTTTTCTTTTTGTTTTTGTTTACTTCTTTTTACTCGTTTGCCCGCCGTTGTGTCTTTGCGGAACGTGAAACAAAGGCTTAATCGCTAGGGTTTAGGGTTTAGGGTTTAGGTTTTACGGATTAGGGTCTAAGAGGCAGGGTTTAATACGGCTAGGGCCTTACGGCTCGCGGAAGACGGACGGCGGGCCAGCAATTAAGAGTGAGGGTCTAGCATTTAGGGTTTAGGGTTTAGGGTCTAGCGCTTAGGGTTTAGGGTTTAGGGCTTCTTAGGTCGCCGTTGACACTCCTGCTAACTTCAAGGCAGACGAGTCTGCTGCAAAGTTGATTATGGAGTTTAAAAAGAATAAAAAACAAAAGAGAAGAGAACTTGAGGCCTTTATGATAAAGAGTTTGGAGAAGCAAAAGAGGCATTTCTAGTAACTAAGGCGAGGGCTGCAATGGCTGCAAGATATGGCCTTAAAGGGCGCTCTTTTAGCTCCCCACATGTATAGTTGAGTTAATAAAAGAGAAACTAATTAAAAATAATGAAAGAAGTAAAGAATTTAGTGCGGAGATACGGTGTGGGCGTTTGGGTTGAGGTGTCTGTACACCACAGCCGCTGCTGCTGCGCTCGGGGCTGCGCCAAGAGGGAAAGCTGCAGAAATAAAGAAAAGGGTTTCTTCTGGGGATTTAATTTTGATTCAGTTGGAAACCAAATGCAATTTGCTTTCGAATGGTGTGTTAATTGTGCAATAACAAGGACAAAAAGCAAAAACTGAAGACGGCTTCCACTTCGCTGGCTGTGGCGGGTCTTACCCCCAGCTCTTCGCGACAAATGGAATTCAACAGGAATAAACCATTTCAAATTATTTAAATTGATTTAAATTTAATCAAATATCTTTTTATTTTGAAAAACCAACTCAAAAATCCAATTTTCTTCTTTTTTTCGTTTTTTCCGGTTTCGGCGGCTGACGGCGCCACTCCTGCTTCTTTTTTCATCTTTTTCTTTTTTTCGCCTTTTTCTCTCTTCTCCTAACTCAAATTAATTCTACAAAAGAATTGTTTTTCATTTCTTTTTTTTTATTTTCAAATTCGGAGATTTTCTCGCGAAGATGGTCGTCGCGATCAAAGGCATTCTCGTGCAATGGTAAGGAAAAAAAGGAAATTAAAAACCAATAATCCTAAAAAACAACTGAATTAATTAATTGTGATCTTAAAGTGCAATTAAATAAACCATTTGTGGATTTAAAAGGAAGAAAATTAACAAGTTATTCATCTTTTTGAAAATCAAACCGAGAAGTTCATTTAATCCTGCTTTTTTCTTTAAACTGAACTAAAAATGAAAAAACAAAAGTGCAAATTGAAATAAACAAAAGTGGAAATTAACAAAAATTAAAAGCTCAAACAGACTCTTCTTCGTTGCTTCGATTGCTTTCATTTTGTTTATTTTTTATATTGTTTTTATTTCTAATTTTATTTTCTTGTTGATCTTTTTCATTTTGTTTTGTTTTCGTCTTTTTGCTTTTATTCAAATTCCCCTCACGACCCTTCAGTGTGTCTGGCCTTTGTTCATTTTGCTTTATCTGTCATTTTTTATTTATTTGTTTTTTATTTTATTTTATTTATTTATTTTTTATTTTGTAAGTTAATCAATTTATTTAGATTTATTTGTTTGTTTATTATTTATTTTCATTATTTTGCTGCAGTTTAATTCTTTGCCATTTAATTAATTCAGTTGTTCTTCCTTTCGACTTCTTGATTATTTCAACTCCATTATTTTATTTTATTTTTAATTTTATTTATATATATTTATTATTTATTTATTTGTTTATTTATTTATTATTATTTACCTAATTTAATTCCTTTTAGACAATTTGCTGAATATTCCTTTCACTTATTTCGCCCAAGACAAACACCCATCAGTCCGTTTTTTTCCAAATTTCCAAACAGATGAATCCCTCAATTAATTAATTAATCTATTATTTATTTATTATTTATTTATTATATTCGTTATACTTATTATTTATTTATTTATTATTTATTTATTTTGTTTTTAGTGACCCCCCCACAATGGAGATAATTCTGCAGCTGAACGAAACGAAGAATTTCATAATTGAAAAAATCAGCGAAGAGCACGTGTTGTGTTCGGAGTCGGTTTGTAGTTTTTTGGAGGTAAAGTCTTTCCAGAAAAAGACTTTTTGGAGCTTTTTTTGAGCCTTTTGGAGCCTTTTAAAGGACGTTTTGGACTCCAAATCACTTCCTAAATGACTCCTTTTGTCCTTTTATTCTTTTATTATTCCTTTGTGTTTTTGTTTCTTTTTGTTTTCTCTTTTTTGCCTTTTCTTATCTCAAAATTTTGTCAAGTCGTTCTTTTTGGTCCTTCAGCTCGCTGTTCTAGCAGTAATAATTAATTTTGATTTCTTTCTTTTAGCTGCTGCGCTGCAGCTGAAAAGAAAGGATAGCAAATAAATAATAATTATTATTTATTTGTCCATTTATCTATTCTTTTTTAAAAATATGCAATAATTATTATTTATTTGTCTATTTACTCATTCTTTTTCTTTGTTTGTCTCTGTATTTTTTTTCACTTGTTTATTAAATCAATTGGTGTTTTCTTTGTCTTTTGATTGGCTCGTTTAATTGCCAAATGGCTCATTTTTTATGATACTAATATTTGTTTATTCGTTCATTTATATATTTATTTGTTTACTTATTTATTTATTTTAATTAAATTGTTTTTAGTTTTGTTTTTTTTATTTATTCAGGAAGAAGTGACGAGGCGTTTGGAACTGGCTGAGCGACCTTTGGCGGAAATGCAAAAAGAGAAAAAGGCGAATGAGGCGGGGGCTGCTGCCAATACCTACTGATTGAAGAGTAAATAAATAAATAAATAAATAATAAATATTAAATAAAAAAGAGAAATAAATGCAGAGTTAACTGTTTGTTCATTTGCCCTTTTGATCCGCGACACCTGCGGTGTATGATGAGCTCCACTCTAGAAAACAAGAATTAAATGAAAAAAGTGGATTTAAATTTTAATTTTGTTTTATTTAATTTACATTTGCAGAAATATAAATTAAAAATTGAAATTTTAAACTGCATTTGGCCTTTTTGTCCTTTCTTCGCTCCCGACACATTTCCTGCACTTACCGCAGGCGTACGTACACCTCAGCTGAAACCCATTCCTTCGCCATCCTTCTCTTAAATTACATTTTTTGTATTTATATATATAAATATTTATATATAAATATAGTATATGTATCCATATTTATAAATGTTAAACTAACTAATTGAACTTATAAAGCATCGAATACTTTTTATCAAATAAAGTGATTTCTTTTGTGCGTGTGAACTGCAGCATTTTGCCGGCCATCCGAAGTCTCTTGATTTCTCGTTTATCTCTTTTTATTCAGAATTCAATTTCTTTTATTTTCTCTTTTTAATTTTCATTGTTATGAAAAAGTTAAAATGAAAATTAAAGACGAGACACGGGCGAGGCCTGTTCGCCGTCCAGGTGTCTGTACACCTCAATTTTACCCTCTAGTCGTTTTTTTTATTTGCTTCGCCGTTCCCTCGTTAGTCACTTATATTTATTTTTGTTTTATTATGAATTATGGAATGTTTGAGAGCAGCAAAAGCAGCAGCAGCAACAGCAGCAGCAGCAGCAAAAACAGCAGCAAAGTCAGAAGCAGAAGCAGCAGCAAAGTCAGAAGCAAAAGCAGCACAAACGCAGCAGCAAGAGCAGCAGCAAAAGCAGCAGGACAGTCTCCGTTTTGTTACTTGTGCCGCATTTGCTGACACATTACTAAATTATTTTCTTTTTTCCCTTTTCACTTTTAAATAATTTTGCATTATTTTCAAGTAATTTCCTTTTTACGAATTCGCGAGAAACAAACGAATTAATTGTATACGAACAAATTGTGAAAGCAAAACAATTTAATGAATTTATATCTTGAGAAAATATTTAAAAACAAATTTAATTAAAATAACTAAAATAGAGTAAATGAATGACACAGTGGGGTGTTGGAGCAACAGCAAAAAGGACAGGAGGAAGAAGTGTCTGCGAGCTGCAGCAGCAGCAGCAGCAGCAGCTGCTGCTGCTGCTGCTGCTGCTGTTTGTACTTTGCAGCAGAAGCAAAATGAAAAGCTTCATGTGGGAAAGAACAACCTGAAAGGAATTGCTACTGCTGTATTTTGGCCTTGCAAGTGCATTTAAGAAGAATGAAAATAAATAGAAGTTAAATGCTTCTGCAGCACAGCTTAGGGAGAAGTTGCTGCTGCTGCGAAGCTGCAGCAGCAGCTTGGAGGCTGCGGCAGCAGGCGCTGCTGCTGTTTAACGGCTGCAGCAGCAGCGGCAGCAGCAGCAGCCTTTGCTGCAGCGCTAGGGCGTGTGCCTATAGAGCTCGGGGTTTGGTGCTGCAGCAGATGCCGCCTCTCAGGCCGAGGGAGCCGCAGCAGCAGCAACAGCAGCAACAGCAGCTGTGGTGTTGGCAGCCGCAGCAGTAACCGCAGCAGCAGCAGTGGTGTTGGCAGCAGCAACAGTAGCAGCAGCAGCAGCAGTGGTGTTGGTAACAGAAGCAGTACCAGCAGCAGCAGCAGCAGCAGCAGTAAAGATCTGCAGGCTCTGTCTGCTCTAAATGTTTCCATTAATGATTTAATTGTTTTTAAAATTGTGAATTTGATTATAAAATTGATTTTTATTTTATTTAATTTAAATTTCACCCCCGGAAATGGAGCAGAAACTGCAAATTTGTCCCCCCCTTGTTCTCCATAAGCTGCGGCTGTGGATGGCAGTTTTTTGTCCAACTTGATTTAAAAGGAACAAAATAAGTAAATTAAATTTAATTTTATATCTATAAATGCGTTTAAATTCCTCTTTGGGCGTTTGTTGTTGCAGAGAGCAGCTGTGGGTTCCGGGTGTATCGACAGCTGGGCTCCTGCGGGGTGCATCCAGGTGTATCGACAGCTCGCGAAAGCGCGCGTTCTGTCGGATTTCGGAGAAAAAAAGGGGAAAATGGAGGAAAATAAGAAGAAAAGAAAAGAATTAAATATAAAAATTAAATTTGAATTAATTCGATTGAGAAAAGAAAGAAAAGCAGCACAACCAGCACGGATGCCCGAGCGGTTAAGGGGGCGGACTTAAGATCCCCTGGTCGTAAAGACCTCGTGGGTTCGAATCCCACTCCGTGCATTCTCTTCAAAAACAATCCATTTAAATTGTTTACTTAGTGTTTGCTTAATTAAAATTAAAATAATATTTAAAGTGTAATTATTTGCTTAATGTTAGTTTAATTAGAATTGAACATAATTCTAATTAAACTAACATTAATTCATGTTCAGAAACAATTCATTTAAGTTATTTATTTAATATTTGTTTAATTAAAATAATATTTAAAACATATTTACTTATTTAATGCTAATTTAACTAAAATCAAAACTAATTTAAAAAGAATTATTTAATTCATGTTGGTTTAACTAAAAAAAACTAGCATTTAAAAAACAATTATTTATTTAACACTAGCTTACTCAAACCAGTATTTAAAATACAATTATTTATCTAATATTAGTTGGATTAAAACTAATATTTAAAAAAGAATTATTTATTTATTGTTAGTTTAATCAAGACTGGTATTAAAAAGCAATTATTTAATGAGCTTGAATTAATATTTAAAAGACAAGTCTTCAATTAAAACTAATATTTTAAAAATATTAATTTAAAATCCGAATTCAAAAAAGAAATTAATTTCAAGTTTTAATTCAAAAAGAGAACAATATAAAGTTGCAATTTGAGAAGAAATTGGAGTTGAAATTCTAATTTAATTTAAAGTTGAAACACTAAATAAATTGAAAAATATATTAATTTAAAGCTGCATTTTTGGGAACAAATTAATTTAAATTTGAAGTTTAAAATACTTTTAATGTTTCTTTGTTCCATTCTGCAATTAAAAAGAAACTTTATTTATTATTTCATTAAATTAAAATTTAAAATAAAAAGGAAATAAAATAAGCCACTATTCACACAGCAACGAGGTGTACGTGCACCCCAGCTGCGCGCGTTTCCCTTTATATATATTATATTTTAATAAAAAGATATGCAGAGATTCAAGAAGACTTATTCATTTATTTATTCATTTATTTTTTAAATTAATTATTTTATTTTATTTATTTATTTATTTATTTACTAGGGTGCTTACATGCACAGTAAAGAAGGAAACTTCATTTTGAGTAACTTTTTGTCGAGGCCTATCTAATTTTTTATTTGAATTAATTTATTAATTTGTTTATTTACTTATTTGCATATAATGCCATTCAAACCATTTATTTCGAATTAAAAAGTAACTAACTAGTGAGTATTTATTTATTTATTTCATTTATCCATCTACTGTCGCAACAAATTAATAAAAATGCTTTTCTTCAAATATCTGAATTTCCTCCGTCTCAAAACTTTCAACAAGTCCCAAATATTTGCAACTAATCCACTTTTATTTTCAGAAACTGTTCAGTTATCTTTTGCTGCTCCAGCTGCTGCTGCTGCAGCTGCTGCTGTTGCTGTTGCTGCAGCTGCTGCTGTTGCTGCAGTAGCTGCTGATGCAGCTGCTGCTGCTGCTGCAGCTGCTGCTGCAGCAGCTGCTGCTGCAGCAGCTGCTGTTGCTGCAGCAGGTGCTGTTGCTCCTGCTGCAGCTGCTGCTGTTCAGCAGCAGCTGCAGTTGCCCTCAGCAGAAGGCCTCCAGAACTCTTTGGGAGGAACTCTGGACAGAATTTGAATTTAATTTGAATTTTTGAGTCATTTATTTCATGTCTTCAATTTTGAACTTTTAAATTTATTTCTTGATTTATATTTATCAAATTATACCATTTAAATTCTACTTTGATTATTCTTCTTTATTGCACTTCTTGAATTGCATTTTCGGAATTAATTTAAATTGCGTTTCTTGATTTCAACTTTTTAGTTCTACGAGTTACAAATCCAATTCTTGAATTTAATTTCGTGAATTTAATTTCTTGAATTAAATTTCTTTAATATTTTAAATTCCATCTTTTGAAATATAATTCATGAATTGAATTTCTTGAATTGAATTTATTGAATTGAATTTATTGAAATGCAATTCTCAGAATTTGAATTTTAATTTTCGAATTTAAATTTCGGAAATGAAATTCCCGAATTCTGCATTTGCGAAATTGAATTTGATTAATTTTCGTTTTTGAATTTCTCCGCCGCAAATTCCCAAATTTGAATTTCTTGAATTCAATTTCTCGAATTCAATTTCTTGAATTATATTTCTTGAAGTATATTTCTTGAATTACATTTCCTGAATTATATTTCTTGAATTATATTTGTTGAATTATATTTGTTGAATTGTTTGTTCTTCTTGGAGTGGATTTCTTGAATTGATTTTCTCGAAAAGGATTTCCGAATTGAACATCTTGAATTACATTTCTTGAATTGAATTTCTCAAATTGAACATCTTGAATTGTTCTTCTTGAACTGAACATCTTGAATGACATTTGTTGAAATGAAAACCTTGAACTAGATTTCTTGAATTGAAAATCTTGAGTAGTATTTCTCGAATTGAACATCTTGAATGACATTTGTTGAAATGAAAACCTTGAACTAGATTTCTTGAATTGAAAATCTTGAGTCGGGAAATATTACTCAAGAACTTCATTTCAAGCTTGAATTGAAGGCCTTGACCAACATATCATGAAGATCTTGAACAACTTCTTGATTGAAAATCTTGAATTTCTTGAATTTTTCGAACAACATTTCTTGAATTGCAGATCTTGAATTGGATTTTAAGACCCTTTCATTCAACTTTGCACTGCGAGTTTTATGAGATGGTCCATAAAGACTTTAAGACTGACATCATCGGTGTTTATTGCAGTTTCCCCGTTGCTGTCGCCGAAGCCAATTCCTGCTGCTGCTGCTGCTGCTCCTGCTGCTGCTGAGTCATAAGAAACTGAAGGGTTTACCTTCGCGAGCAAAAACCGAGCCTGAGAGCCCCCGCTGTTGCACTGCACGTACTTGGGGGCCGGGAACCTGCAGCAACAGGGTTTAGGGAATAGGGTTTGGGGTTTCTGTAGGAAAGCGGTTTGGGGTTTTCAGTTTAGGGCTCGTGCGACAGCCTGGCTGCGGCGGCCGAGGGTTTAGGGTTTAGGGTTTGGGGTTTCTTTTCGAGAGCGGCTTGGGGTTTTCAATCAAGAGTTCGCGAGAGAAAATGGCTGTGGCAGCCGAGGGTTTAGGGTTTAGGGTTTAGACTCAGAGGGGTTTAACGGAAAAAGGAAAAGCCCACGAACCTGTCACTTAGGATTACAGCGGCATCATCCACAGGCGCCTGCATGCACAAGTTAAGACAGAGAGCAGCAAATAAAAAGGTTGCAACCTGCTGCTGCTGCTGTTGCTGACGCAGCAGCAGCAGCACCAGCGCATCCAAAATCAGCGCCATCAACAGCTGCTCTAACCGGCAGCAACAGCACCGGCAAATTCAGCTGCAGCTGCTGCTGCAGCAGCACCAGCATCACCAGGCCCAGCAGCAGCACCATCACCCCCGCAGCAGCAGCAGCACCACCACCACCCGCGCAGCACCAACAGCAGCAGCAGCACCACCACCAATACACCCGCAGCAGCAGCAGCAACAACGCAACAACAGCAGCAGCAGCAGCACCACCACCACCCCCGCAGCAGCAGCAGCAGAAGCTTGCCTGCAGCAGCTGTCTGAGGTTTTCATATTCAGGAAGGTTGTGATAGCCTTGCTGCTTCCACTGGTGAATTAATTCCCCGTGCCAAACCACAACGTGGAAGAAGGAGTCCAGCAGCAGAATCACGTCGGGCTGAAATGATAAATAATAAATAAATAAATAAATACATAAATGATAAATTAATGATCTAATGAATGAAATAATTAATCAGCTGGTGATGGCTTGGGCAGTCCAAAGTAACAAAAAGATGAATCAGCGAAATGAAATAAGGAAACAAACAGCCACTTCAAGTTGAAAAAACACATAAATGAATGAAAAGATAAATAAAAATGAAAAACAAAAGAGGAAATAATTATATAAAACAAATAGATAAAAAGGACAAATAAAAGAGAACAAAGAATCGAGAAACAGAAAACTGGCAGCCAAGGAAAGCCATTTAAAAGCACGAAGAAGCTGCGAAAAAGCAGAAAAGAATTAAAACGAAATTCCCCGTCAACTTGAGAAAACAAACAAATAAATAAATAAATAATAAATAAATAATCATAAATAAATAAGAGGACAGTAAAGGATAAAGAACAGAAAGACCTAGAAGCCACGAAAAAGCAGAAGAGAATTAAATTATTTGGAAAGAAACAAAAACGAAACAAAGTTAAATTCTTTGTAAAAATAATTAAATGCAATTCCTCCTCAACAGAAAACGGAAAAGAAACAAAACCAAAGCCTCCACCAAAGAAAGCCGAAAAGACTTGAAATGGATCTCAAATATCGACTTTTCCTTGAAACAAAGAGCAAAGAACAAATTCTTTGTGCAAAGAAGCAAATAAAACCGAAAAAAACTGAATTAAATTGCGTTTAATTGCATTAAATTGCATTAAATTGCATTTAATTGAATTAAATTGGATTAAATTGCATCAAATTGCATTAAATTTGACCTTGAGGGCCTGCGCGTCAAGCAACACTGGCTGGGGAGGCCCCTGCTGGTTCAAAGAGTAAGAAAGCAGGGCCGGCTGAATCATCACCAGCGCGTTCACCACGCTGGCCCGGAGCAGCACCGATCTGCGTTCAAATTCGACAATCGAGGCCCAATTTAATCCATTTTAAGCCTCTTTTAATCAATAAACATCATTCTAAAATGTTTGTTTAGTCTTTTATTCGCTCATTTATTCATTTGTCCATTTATCTGCTCATTTGCTGCTCGATTCCTCGCTGCTTAGGTCCACAGTTGCACCAGCTGCTACTTCGAACTCGTTCTTCGTCATTTTGTTTCGCGACCAGACGCAAAAACAATTAAATATATAATAATAAGATTATAATTAATCAATAAAATAAATAGAATAAATAAAATAAATAAATAAATAGACAAATGAACAAACTGAATGAACAAAACTTGCAAAACCCGCAAATCTGGTGACGACTTCCGTCGTTCTGTTCCTTGCAAATCGCCAGATTTGAAACAAATAGAAGCCAAATTTGTTTACTGATGAATTGATCCAATTGTGAATTAAATGATCGAAACTTTAACCAATTAAAAGATCAACTAACTAATCCACCGATTCGCGAGGCATCTGAGCCACTTCCGGTGCACTGGCGAGCAAATTTCCGTTGAATTTGCAATTAATCTGTTTAAATTTGTGGAAAAGTGGAAATGAAAGACAGAATAAGGAATAAATTTGGAAAAAAAAGAAAATTCACCGGTAATAAGCCGTTTCGTCCGGACTGGCGTTGAAAGTTTGCAAGAAATGACTCCGCCGCAAGTGGTACATGAATTGCGGGTAAATTGCAAACTCCGTCGATAAGTGAAATGAATTCGGATCGTCCTTTTGGTAGTCTGCACACAAACCCTAAACCCTAAACCCTAGCAAGTCCAGCAAGCCCTAACAAACACTAGCAAGCACGAACAAACCCGAAACCCTTAAGAACCCTAGACCCTGGGAAACCATAAACCCTAGAAAATCATGAACCCTAGCAAACCCTAAACCTATAATTAATTAATTAATTAATTAATTAATTAATTAATTAATTAATTTCGAAATGGAGACATTTCCTCCAAAACGAAGTAAAAGGGCTTTCAAAAAGATGCAGAGAGAACGAAAATGGAAAAATGCAGAAATCAAATCAAAATCAGTAATCCACATCGTCTTTGTGTAAATAAATGGAACAAAAAGATACAATAAACAAAATTACATAAAGAAACAAAAAAATGAACAAAATAAATAAAATAAAAACAAACAACTCACCAGCAAATCTGGCGACGAGTCGAATGAGCTTCCTATCGAGCCACCTCAAGACATCCATGGCCTCTTCATTTTCAGTTTTTAAAACTGCCAAACGAGCCGTCAGAACTGCTGCAGCTTCTTGGTCAAAGCCTTCAAGCAAACGCAAACATCCAGCTAGCTAGCTAGCTAGCTGGACAGCTAGCTGGCTAGCTGGACAATTAGCTGGCTAGCTGGATGGCTAGCTGGCCAGCTGGATGGCTAGCTGGTTAGCTTGATGGCTAGCGAGCGAGCGAGGAGATGCGCGGAAAAATCGGACGCGAGCGACTAGCCAGCCAACTGGCTACCTAGCTAAATGGCCACCTTCCTGGCTAGCTAGCTAGCTAGCTAGCTAGCAAGCTAGGCAGTTACCCAGTGGGACAGATAATGGTCATCTACCTGGCTAGCTAGCTGTCTTGCTAGTTAGTTGTTTAGCTAGCTAGCTTGATGGCCACCTAGCTATCTGGCTAGCTAGACAGCTAGCTAGCTAGCTGTACTAGCTAGCTAGGCAGCTATCTAGCCAGCTAGCCAGGCAACTAGCTACCTAGCTAGCCAGCTAGCTAGAAGTTGGGATTACCTGGGGCAATGTCTAGAGGGCTCTGTTCCGCAAAGCGATAAGACAAAGTGGTGACCCGCAGGCGGCGGCGGCCGCTGGGGTGCAAGTAACACGTTTGGAACTGGAGAAAGGACTGTTTGCCTGAGGAAAAGGCGGAAAAGAGGACAAAAAGGGGCTTTTTTGAAAGAAAAAAACCGGAAATAATTAAAAAAGAACTTGGAGGAATTTAAATCGAAAAATCATCCGAAAAAAGCAGAAAAATCCGAAAAAAGCCGAAAAATAAGATGAAAAACACTGAGAAGCGCCCGATCAGCTCCACCGGAAACCGCCAAAACTTGGCCAATTTCCCGCAGTTTTTCGGGAAATAAATCGGGGAATAAACCGGAAAACAAATTGGAAAGTTTTTCAACAAAAAAATCGGAAAATAAATCACCTGGAGGCAAATTGGAAGGGTGTTGGTTGGTGACTTCGAAGTAAAACGCTAGAGTGGTTTCCCTGTCCAGCGCCGCCGCCTGCCATTCCGAAGTCGCGCCTTCTCCAATGGCCAAGTCGGAAACCTGCGCGCCTCTTTTGTTGGTGCCTATAGCGAAGTAAAAGAGAAATTAAATGGAAATAAAAAATAAATAGACAAAAATAAATAATAATTTCGAAAAAAGAAGCAAAAAAACGAATACAACTCCCTCAAGAGCAAACATTTGCAAGACACGCAGCCGCAGAGTGCCTGCAGCAGCCACGCGGTCTTTTGCGAGTCTTTTTCGATTTAATTCGGGAAAAAAGGAAAACAATTGACTCTAAATGAATTAATTCAACAATTAATTGATTAATTGATCCATTAAGTCCGAAATTATCGGGAAATCGGCCAGTTTCTCCACTAAGTTGTTCCCGAAAATTGCGAAAACGGCGCACTTGTGCACGGGCCAATCGCCCCGCAGACTTTAAACTCTTTGCTGCACAAAACCTCCACTCGCGCGTTGAAGCCCATTTGAAGAAACCCTGCACAAACAACCATCAAATCACACAAACCCTAAACCCTAAACCCTAAACCCTCAACAGGTCGGCGCCACTCAGCACCAAGTTCTGGAAGTCCAAGCCGCCAATGCACACAACAAAAGCTACCTAGCTAGCTATGATGTACCTAGCTACGTAGCGAGCTAGCTAGCTAGGTATCTATCTAGCTAGCCAGCTATCTAGCTAGCTAGATATATAGGTGCTGATGGAGGGAGCTGGGGAGGCAACTGGCCAGTTTCCTGGGTGGTGAGCTAGCTGGCTTACTAGCTGGTCACCTCATTAGCTAGCTAGCCACATCAGCTGCCATAGTGCCAGCTAGCTTTCTAGCTAGCTAGCGGGATAGCTAGCCGGGTAGCTAGCTATCCAGCTAGCTCCCTACCTCTCTCTCGCTAGCTCTCTTGCTCTCTAGCTAGCCAGCCCTCCCCCTAGCTAGCCAGCTTGCGCTAAAGCTAGCTAGCTAGCTTGCCAGCTAGCTGCTGCCTCACCGGTTGAGTCTGTCTCGAAGAACTTCCTGAGGCTGTCTTTGTAAACATTCAACGAAAAAGAATCTGCCATCACCACAGCGCCTCCTGTCTTCTCCGGCATTACTTTCATTTCGTAAAGTCCCACCTGAATGGCAAGAGAACTCAACAGACAAAAGGGCCCCACTGCTGCTGCTGCTGCTGTTCTGGTTGTTGTAGCTGCTGTCGCTGCTCCAAGGACTAACATTTAAACGAAATAGCGATTGCAATAATAAGTTTCTTTAGATGATTTTCTTTTATAAACCCTCTAAAACCAAAAGAACTTCAAACAGCTTTCGCACAAAGGAACCTCCTTAGCTAATTCTCTAGGTAGCTCTCTAGCCAGCTACTAGCTAGCTAGCTAGCTCTCTAGCTAGCTGGCCTGCTGGCTGACCAGCTCTCTGACTAGCTCCCTAGCTAGCTAGCTAGTTCTCTAGCTCCCCAGCGAGCTAGCTAGCTAGCCAGCTAGCTAGTGGCCCAAACGGCTCAGTAATTGCAAAACGAATGGAACTCGGCACAAGTTCATGAATAAATGAAGAACTCAACCATTTCCTCTTGAATTAATTGGAAAAGTAATTAATAATTGACTAATTTGGAAAAGGAAGGCAATTAGAAGAGAAAAGGAACTTGGGAAAATGCGCAAACCCACCTGGTCCAAAGAACAGGCGAAAATGTCTATGGCGCAGCCAGCCCGCACTGCCCGGTTTGCAAGAAATGCGTAAAACTTGAGAGCTTTTTGGACAAATCGGGCATTAGAATTGTCCTTTTGGAGGTCCAAGTGGTGCCTAATTGACTCCGCCAGGGGCAGATCCACTATCTGCAGCAAGCGCAAACCCTAAACCTCAAAACAGCGGCTTCTCGCGACACCGGCAGCAGCAACAGCAGCAGCAGCAGCAGCGGCGGCAGCAGCAGCGGCAGTAGGGCGTTTGGGGGGGGGGGAAACGAGGCAAACAAGCAATTAAATGGGGCAGAAGATAACCAATCTTTTGTTTATCATTTGGCGAATTAATAAATCGGGAAAGAGAAGAATTAATTTGATCAAAAAGCAAAGAAAAGAATGAAGAAATGCAGGAAATCACCTGGCCGGGACCCGTGGTGCAGACGCCCCCCGTGAACAGCATAATCCTTGCGGGCAAATTCAACCAACAACTTTCTACGAGAGCCAGAGCCACCGAAAGGGCCAATCCGGTGCATCTTTTGGGTCTTTAAAAGGAAAAAAAGGCGAAGTGCAGAAAAAAAGGAGAAAAAAGGAAAATAAGCGGAAAAATTGCGGGGAAAATGCGGAAAAATGCGAAAAAAAGTTGAACAGGCAGATCGGTTGGGCACCACTGATCAATCCAGTGCACTTTTCGACTCGAAGAAATGATAAATAACCTCGAACAAAAAACGAATTAATAATAATAATAATTTCAAAAAGAAACGCGCAAAAAACGACGAAAATGCCGCCAAAATCGACGAATTCCGAGTAATTGCAATTCAGATAATTGCGAAACAAGTAAGAATAATTCGGAACCAAAAAGCTAAAATACAAAAAGATGAAACGAAATAAAGGAAACGATCATTAAAAGAAAAATGAAAAATAACTCCGATTCAAATAATTCCGAAATAAACAAAAAATTGAATTGAGAACAAACTCTAGTTCGATCTTGCAAAGCCCTGCTACTACATTTTTGGAAGGGGGCAAATTAAACGAACAGAAACAGATACAAAGTGCAAATAAAACGGATCAAATGAAGAAAACAAAAATTAAATAAATGAAATAGCAAAACAAAGATGTAATTAACTCTTAAAAGGGTCAATTCGAACTAAATGCAGATGAACGGTGGTGGCAGCAGCAAGCCCAAGCCCTAAACCCTACACCCTACACCCTAAACCCTCACCTGGAGTCTGCTGGCACTGGCCAGTAGTCCTTCTTCAGGGACTCTAAAATGAAAGAAACTTTTGCTTCGCAGTCCCCCACAGACTGAATAAATCTTGCTGCTGCTGGTGGCAGCCAGGGGCATCTGTTGTTGCTGCTGCCGCTGCGGGGAGCAGCATAAGTAGCACCACCACCCAGTCCCAGCTGCTGCTGAATCTGAAAAACACCCCAAACCCTAAACCCTAAACCCTAGGCCTTAGGCCTTGCCAAACCTTAACCCTAAACCCTAAACGCTGAACCCTCACAATTGCTGAAGAAAGGCCTCTGGATCCGTGGAAAACATGAACTGACACCGCTAAAACCCCAACCCTAAACCCTAAACCCTAAACCCTAAACCTTCACACTAGCTGAAGAGAGGTCTCTGGATCCGTGGAAAACATGAACTGACACCTCTAAAACCCCAAACCTGAACCCTAAATCCTAAACCCTAAACCCTAAACCCTAAACCCTAAACCCTCACACTAGCTAAAGAAAGGTCTCTGGATCCGTGGAAAACATGAACGGACACCTCTAAAACCCCAAACCTGAACCCTAAATCCTAAACCCTAAACCCTAAACCCTAAACCCTCACACTAGCTGAGGAAAGGTCTCTGGATCCGTGGAAAACATGAACTTTGTTGAATTCTCCTCCATCTGCAATTTCGTGGAGCATGCACATGGCTCCGAAAGTGATGAGGCAAATCATTGCATCTGAAGGCATCAGCGCCAGCGCCTGAGTCGAAGCAAACAAACAACTTTTATTTTTAATTTTAAATTTATTTTCCTTTCAAATTAAAACGAAATTCAAAAAAGAATTAAGTTCGCGGAATGCGCACACGCGCACAAGAAACGCAGGATCTGCTGCTGCTGCAGCAGCTGCAGCAGCAGCAGCACAGTGGTGGCAGCAGCAGCGGCACTGTTCGTGGCAGCGAATACAGCAGCAGGATTTGCAGCAACCGCGGATGCAGCAGCAGCGACGGAAGCTGCATTAGAAGAAGCAAATACAGCAGCAGACACAGCTGCAGCAGGAGAAGCAGCTGCAGCAGAAGAAACAGCCACCGCAGCCACCCCACCAGCAGCAGCAGCGCCAGCAGCAGCGCAAGAAGCTGCAGCAGAAATATTAGTAACGGCAGCAGCAGCAGCAACAAAGTCAGCAGCAGCAGCAGCAGCAGCAGCAGCAAACACCTGCAGCAGCGAGTCCTTGAGCTGCTCGATTTCTTCCTCAATTATGCAGGTGTCCAGAACTAGCACAAACAGGGGAGAAGGCAGCAGCTGGTTGGCGTTTCCTGCTGCTCCTGCTGCTGCTGCAGCAGCTGCTGCTGCTGCTGCTGCGCTGCTGGGCAAAGACATGCTGGGGGGCAAAATGTACTCAATGGTTGGGTACAGCAACTCCGCGGGCAAATTCTGAAAACAAAATAAATAATAAATAAATAAATACATAAATAAACAAACTAATTAGCAATTAATTACTTAACTTGTAATTCAATAACTTAATACATTTAATAAGAACAAGGCGGCTCCAGCCGGCCACTGCTATCCACCCAATTATTTCCCCCTTGTCTATTCTTATTCTATTTATCATTAATAAATTAATTAAATATAACTTATTTATTTATTTATTTTGAATTAATTTAATCCAATTTATTTATTTAATTCATATTTCTTACATGTTCGGATATGTGGGCAGCATAGTGGCTGGGGAAAGAATTTCGCTGCAGCGAAAAGGGGCAAGTCCAGCTTTTGTTTCTGCAGACAAAAATAAGTAAATAAACAAATAAATAAATAAAATAATAAATAATAAATAATCAACGAATGATAATTAAATAAAAATAAACAAATGGCGAAATTAGATAAGGCAAATTCGCCAAAGGGGGCACAAAAACGCATTAAAGGCAGCAGCAGCAGCAGCAGCAGCGGGAATAGCAGCAGCAGCAGCAGCAACGGTGTTGTTACTGTATTGCAAATCCAGTATAAACCCTAAACCCTAAACCCTAAACCCGAAACCCTTGGCCTTGAAAGGCGCTGCTGCGGGTTGCGTGTAAGGGTTTACACATCCGCTGCTGCTGCTTGGCGCTTTTCCGTGCAAAGGCTTAAGGGTTTAGGGTTTAGGGTTTTCCATTTCCAAACCCCTGTGCAGATACTGCTCGGCTCCCTTCTAAAGCGGGTTCAGGGTTTAGCCCCAGGGTCCCACGCTGCAGCGCGGGTTTAGGGTTTAGGGTTTGAGGGTTTAGTGTTTAGCCCGAGGGTTTCGCGCTGCAGCGCGGGTCTAGGGTTTAGGGTTTAGGGTTTAGAGTTTGGTTTCGGGTTTCCGCGCGAGCAGCGGCGGACTGCCCGCGGCGCGGCGCCGCCGCCCCAACGGGGCCCGGGGCTAGGGCTAGGGTTTAGGGTTTAGGGTTTAGGGTTTAGGGTTTGGGACCTGAAGTCGACTGCGCAGAAAGGATTCAAAATGCAGCCGCTGACTCTGCAGCGCACGGGCTCGTACTCAACGAGCTGCAGATGCATGCACTCCTTCAGCGGGGTGTACATACACCCCAGCGGCACTTCGATCTGCTGCGCCTCCGCCCGCGTTGGCGGCCAGATGTTCCACGAGAACCGGCAGCCAGTTGCTGCCTCGTGCTCGTGCACGTCCATTGCTGCTGCTGCTGCTGCTGCTGCTGCTGC